AAGCTAATCTAAACATGATATTGCACATAAAAGCTAAGCATGCAAGAATGTTCGGAGAATATAACTTGAAACATGAAAATAATAGGTACGGCCTAGGGCTACGGCTACGCACATAACACGCATGCATGACCAACAAAATCTAATCTTAATAAACATGATACTCTCGGCCAAATGACGACGGAACTTACCTCTTGTTAAGCCTTCGGACTAAACTCTTCGAACACCCGAGCTCTCGGCCGTGAGGAACTCCGCGTGTGTGCGTTGGCTCGTGGCTATGGCGATGCGTGCGGTAGCGTGTGGCTCTCGGAATACTCTCGCCCAAGGCTCGCGATAAACACTCCAACCTCCCACAATACTCTCTAACTCTCGGCACTCAAGGAAAGAGAAGGAAAAATGGAACACCTCTCCCAAACCCCTCACTTATAATAAAGGCCGAAAATCATAAGGATGGGAGGGAGACATTTTGGTCAAGGCTTGGACATGTGGCCACCATGCAATCCTCTTCTCCCTCACCCACGTGAATGTGCCAAGCCAAAAGAAAAAAAAAAAAGAAGACAAATGCTTTCCCACACACACATGCACGGCACCTTAGGAAAAAAAAAGTGGGGAGCATCTTGAATAAAGCTCTCTTTCTCATGCACAAAAATACAAATTGGGTGCACGGACAATGAGGGGGAGAATCTTGACCAAGACAAAGCTCACTAGCTTGCTACAAAAACCGCACGGCATTTAAGGATAATGGAGAGGAATCTTGGACTATTGCTAGCAAAATGCCAAGGGATGGTGCACGGCTATTACATGAAAAATTTGGAAAAATCCGAACATAATATATATATATACCTTAAGCTTGATTAATATGTTAATTAATCACCTCATCATGTTTAATTATTAATTAAACATAATGCTTAATTACCAAAATTATTCCGAACGTAAACGGTACGTCGAAAATAATTTTTGGTAACCTCGACTGAAATAACTGAAAATGATTAATTCCGAAAAATAATATCGGAACTAAAACATAATTATACTGATAAAAAGTCGGGATATTACAGGTTACAAGGTATTCCCTTTCGCACAGTTGAGATTGCGAGTCTCGCATTACTGTATGGATTTATTGAATAATGCGCTTCAGAGGATGCGGGACTTGAGCGAAGATGTTTCTCAGTGCTGCGGATGTGTAATGATACACTCATGTACTTCCTTGTGCTTGTGAGCTAAGGGGGACACACACTATAGATATGTCTATTACGCCCGACATGATCCACATGTTCTGGAGCACACTAGAGGTGATGGAGCCAGGTATAATTGCGAGATTGATAAATTTATAGAACTTATCTAAACATCATGTATAGAATAGAATTTTTCTAAATTCTGTTTCATTTTTTTATCTTTTAGTATACTTCATGTATTGTTTCATTTATAGCGTATGTTGTTTAATTTTAAATTTTTTTTTTCAGACAGGTCAGCAGAGTGCATCGACGGGTGGATGGACAGACCATGACTATTTTTGGAGCCTTATCGAGGAGGTAGAAGCGGTCGATCTTGCGATGGTGCAGTACGTTAATCAGTTCATCTACTCTCAGCTTCACCCTGACCAACAAGATTACACAGAACCTGCAGTGAAGGAAAATCCAAGTGGTTGGCCCAAGAATACCAAAGCAGGGTCCATCGAAATGGGAGTACAGTCAAAGAGGCCGTAAAAGCACCTTTTCGTGTGCTCCATCGCAATCGGAGTACACAAAAACAGGTCACCAGGTGGGGCGTAAAAGCACTTCTTCGTGTGATCCATGGATATGGGAGTACAGGGAAAGAGGTCATCCGGTAGGGCGTAAGAGCAGTTCTTCGTGTGAACCGACAAGCTCGTCTTCTCCGATAGGTGATTTTTTTTTGTTTATCTGAACGATAATAATTATGTTTGTAAATTCGAATATCTAAATTATGACGTGAAATTATTCTGATATTACAAAGACTTTATCGATGAATTTCATTGAATATCGATATTGTCAGAGAATTTCCTACGTAGTTCACCCCTACGTAGAGAGCTATCTTGATGTGAGGATGGATAGGAACTGTGGATTTCGGGTAGTTGCGAGATACATTTATAGGGACCAACAGATATGGCGATTGGTAAGAATCAACATCGCAAATGAGGTTGCAGCCTACAGACAGTTGTACGCTCTTTTTTATTTCAATGGGATCCACGCCGCACTCTATCGGATAAGATGGGACGGGGAAGCTTGTGGCAAGGAGCATTGGATGGAAGTTATAGGCGACCTCTTTGCAATAGCTACACTGTTTAATGCAGTTGTCATGTTATTAGACTCTGGTGACATAAATGACAACATCGATTTCAATAGTATGACAGTATTGCTGCTGCATGCACCATCCTCAGCTACAGGACCTAATTGCGTATGCACTCATGAAGGACAAGAAACAGGCAGTTATGACTGGGTTCTACATAAGCTGAGACTTCTTATAGGCTCTGAGGTGCATCCTAATGCGGTTGTCATTGACAGAGAGTTGGGCTTAATGACTCCTATTAGAAGAAACTTTCCCGATGCCCACTTACTCTACACGTGACACATCCACAAAGATGTGGAAGACAGAGTCTACAAACTATTTGGAAAAAATAAAAATTTCTCTCAAAAGTTCACGCACGGTATGTGGAAGGAGATTGTTGATGCTAGTACGTTCGATGAATACAACACTGTCGTAGCTG